TAGCCCTTGGGCTGGGATCCCTGTGGGTCCCACGGAATCAGGTACTTTGGGGGGAATTCTGAGCTGGCATCTGGGGCTCCCAGGACATGATAGCCTCTTCCTTTACCTGTTGCTGTTTTGGCCTGCCCTCTCCCTCCTTCCTGCAGGTGCCCCTGCTCACCACCCCCCACCCCACCTTTGTCTACGTTGTTCTTGACACCCGGGATGCTCTCACTGCCTCACCCCTGCTGTGAGGATGGAGGTCCTCCCCATCCTGCTGGACCAAGGGCAGAGGCATCAGGTTCTGCCCTCCAGACCCCCTCCCAGCCTCCCCCAGGGGTCCCCTTCACTCCACACAACCAGGCTATACATGGCTGGGGGTGTCCGGGCCCCATGACCTTACTTCTCTTATTCATTTGCCCAACATTTCCCCACCAAGGGCTGCTCTGCCTTCCTCAGGCAGAGGTGGCCAATGTTACCGTTGGGTTTGGAAGCCCGCTGTGAAGCCTGGCTCTCCCAGCACCCACCGACTCCACCGCAGAGACAGTCTGCACTCCCAGCAACCGACCTTTGTACAGGCTGTGCCTTCTTTCCCTGCCGCCTTCCTCCCCTGCCTACCTCCCACCGGCCCTTTGTCGAAGATCACTTCCTCCAGGGAGTCTTCTGTACACCCTGACCCCCCTACACGGCTGGGTCAAGCCTGTCTTCTGGTCCACAGCCCTGACTCCCCTCAAACCCAGCTCCTGTCACCCAGAGCCACATCTGTCTTCCACACCCTTCCCCAGGGCCAGGGACCGAGTCTCCCCCACTGTGTGCCCAGGGTGGATGGTGTCCTGGGCTTGCTGCTACAGCTGGGGTTGCTGAGCCCTAACAGTGTGTGCCAGGGGCTGTGACTGCCTGAAGTCACCGATCCATTAATCACTCCGGTGCCGCCTCCGTCTGCTCCCTGCTGCAGGCATGTGTTTGGTGGGTGTGCGCTTCTGGTGTCGAGGAGGTATGAACGGAGCCAGTGTCCGGCCTGCACACGCCACCGCTGCACATCCCCAGGGAGAGACTCACCTGGCTCCTACCCAGATGGGGGTCCTGGGGGCAGCAGATCCTTTAAGATCCTGTTTGAGGCTGGGGGAATGGGCCAACCCGGAGCCTGGAGGCCTGGTTCTAATTCTTCCTCTGCCTGGTTTGCTGTGTGGCCTGGGAAAACCCTTGCCTGTCTCTGGGCCTGGAGGAGATGAGCATTAGGCCTCTCCCAGTCTCACCTTCCAGGCTCCAGATCTCCCCAGGCTTAGGTCAGCCCCGGGTGCCAGCAGCGGCCTCTGTAGGAAGATGGGGGCTGCTTCCCTTGGACTCCTCTGGCTCCGACCAGGGCTGAATCCAGGGCTGGGGAACTCGCTTTCACTCTCTGCCTGGAATCCTTCTCTCCCCTCACTTGGCCAAGCTCTCGGCCTGAAGATGCTGCTCGGGTGCCTGGGAGCCTCTGGATGGGGGGCCTCTGCCTGTCCTGAGCACTTCCCATGAGCAACCGCAGGCTGGTACTTGGGCTTTGTCGCTATAATCCCACAGCTCCCGGTCACTGTGGGTCCTTGCTGCCTCCCTGCCCCCACCTCCCAGCCCCCACCGCCGTGAAACCTGCATCAGACTGATGGGCTCGGTCATGCTAAGGTGTAAATGACTGACAGCCAGGCCCCAGCAGCCTTATGTTAAAGAGAGTCTGTTAAAGACAGTCCAGCTTTTCCTGGAGGCCTCTGGATATGGAATTCCTTCCAGGAATTCCAGGAAAAAGAGGCCTGCGGCCCCATCCAGCATGCTGGGCCAGCCATCCCCAGGGTAGATGTCCCTGCAGACCGCGGTCTGAGGAGGCAGGCCTGGTTCCAGTCCCCAGGCCCTCCTGCTTTCCCCAGCAGCCTCCCTCCTGCAGCCCCCACAGAACTGCTCTAACTGCCAGCTTTTTCTTCAGTGGTTCCCATGGCAGCAGCCACGGGGGCTGAGGGAGGAGACGGGGAAAAGGGAGGCAGGGCAGCTGTGTGCAGATGCTGTCCACAGAAGGGGTCCAGGATGTCAGCTGGGGGTGTGGCTGGGCCACAGGCTGGGCCTCGAACCACCGGGCCAAGAAATAATAGTACCAGAAGTGGCAGTGGACACTTGTTCCCCCACCTGCTTCCCACGTTAGCCCTTTTAATGCTCACGCAACCACGGGAGGAAGGAGTTTTTTTCATCGTTGTCATCCCCGCTTTACAGATGGAAAACTGAGGCTCGGTGGAATTAAGAGACTTGCCTAACAGCTCACAGCCATTAAGGGGCAGAACCAGAATCTGAACTCAGCAGCTGAGCTCTAGAGTTGCGCTCCTAACCACTACAACGCACTGCCTTGACTGCGGCCACCCAGGTCCTCAGGTACAAAAGCTGCTCCAGGGGCCGGGCACGCTGGCTCACACCTGTAATCCCAGCACTTTGGGATTTGGTGATGAGAACACCTTCCTCAGCTTGCACTCAGGACAGCTTGCACTCAGCCAGCCTCCACCCTTGAGCAGTGGGGGCTCCAGAGAGCTACAGACAATAAAATGTCTGTTGGCAGGACCCAACAGTGGGCTGTTCTGAAATGTGACCCCTTGCAACAGACACATCTCGAGGGTTTGCCAAACTGAAGACCCAGAGCCTACTGACCAGGCCTCTCTGAGAGTGATGCTTGTAGACACCACAGCTCGGGAGGCACTGGAAAATGTCTTTAAGAACCAAGCTTTTTGATAGTTGAGAATCTTCCGTTTAAAACGGTGGTCCTCCCCCACCGCCGAGGCGGGCGGATCACAAGGTCAGGCGATCGAGACCATCCTGGCTAACATGGTGAAACCCCATCTCTACTAAAAATACAAAAAAAAAAGTAGCCAGGCATGGTGGCGGGCACCTGTAATCCCAGCTACTTGGGAGGCTGAGGCAGGAGAATGTCATGAATCCCAGAGGCAGAGCCTGCAGTGAGCTGAGATTGCGCCACTGCACCCCAGCCTGGGTGACAGAGCGAGACTCCATCTCAAAAAAAAAAAAGAAAGAAAAGCTGCTCCAGCCCAACAGCACTCCCGCCTGGAGGCCTTTGTCCATGCTGCACCTCTGTCCAGAACCTCTGCCTACTTCCTGCACACCCAGCTGGCCCTGGCACTGTGTCTTAGCCCAGATATTACCTCCTCCAGGAAGCCTTCCTTGATGCCCTGTGTCTGTCCAACCCCTACCCTGCATTCTCAAAGCCACTGGATTTCCCAGAACACACTGTTGTCTTTGTTGTTTTGTAGGACTGTCTGCCCCTGCAGATTGGGAAGGCCCTGAGGGCGGGGTTGGGGTTCAAATCGTCTTTATGAGCCCAGCACTCAGCCTTAGGCTGTGAATACTGACACCAACACGTATTGAGAGCTGAGGATGGGCTGGTGACAGTGGCCGCTTTGATACTAACTTCCCTGGAGTTTATAGGCTGCATGTCTGTGCGCCGGCAGCTAATAGAAACACTGGCCATTGTTATGCACCAGTGCCTTTTGCTTCTGAATCCGTGCAATGGTGCCATGAGGGAGGAGCTAGTATCCCCATGTCACACATGAGTAAATGAGACCCAGAGAGGCAAAGTCACTGCCAAAGGCCACACAGCTGGTGCGTGGCAGCGCTGGGAGCTGGACCCAGGGTCCTCTGACTTCAAGTAAGCTGATCTTGGGGAAATTCCATGGTCAAATCTAGGACAGATGTCCAGAGAGGGGTCCCCTGCACCTGCGTGGTGTGCCCGCTTGTCCTGGCCTACCCTCTACCAGGAACTGAGAGCGAGTCCCCGTCCTCCCTCCTCGGGGCATCCTGCAGATCAGTGTGTCATTGTCATCGTGTGTGTGGTGTGTGTGTGTACTGCCGGGCTCCCAGACTCTGCAGCCAGCTCGCTGGAATTGACACATGACATGACCTCCGGCCCTCCCAGCTCATCCTCGCTGTCAGGGAAGGGAGGGGACTGCCTGCAGGAGGTACTGCCTTTGCTGACTCGCCCTCCCTTGTGAGGTGACTACCCTGGAGGTGGCAGGCGGGGACACCCGGGCCATGGTCACCATGCTGAAACCGCTCCCCTGGCCTGCCACGGCTGGCCCTCCCCATGGTCAGCCAGCTGGGAAGATTCAGGTCTTTACAAAACTTTCATAAATGTAATGAAAAATATGTGACCTGGAAATTAATTCCATCCAGATGCAGGGGTCTTTGTTATGTGGGTGTGTGTTTTGTAAATGGCAGAAGATAAAAAACCAAAGGCTGTTTTATGGAGCAAGATGTGAAGGCAGCCAAAGCCGCAGATCGCAATTTTTTCAGTGTATTTTGGGATATTTACTGATTCAAATTCTTTTGGTGTTTCCCAAGCAGTAAACAAAACCTTCTCTGATGGAGGAATCTCACTGAACGTCTTCCCGGGGCACAGGAGCAGATCCGTCAGCAGGAAGAGCAGCTGCAGCCAGTGTGGGGATGGAAGTCCCCGTCACCACCCCACCAGGCAGTCACACTTGAGGGTGGAGGAGGAGAGTTCCTGAGGCCAGCAGGCCAGAACGAGATGTCGGCACAGCTGGAAGATGGCCGATGGCCTCTCTGCCAGCCTCATCTAAAAAATGGGAGTGTGGTCTGCTGGGTGCAGTGGCTCACGCCTGTAATCTCAGCACTTTGGGAGGCCGAGGCGGGTGGATCACCTGAGGTCAGGAGTTCGAGACCAGCCTGACTAATATGGAGAAACCCCATCTCTACTAAAAACACAAAATTAGCCAGGCGTGGCGGCGCATGCCTGTAATCCTAGCTACTTGGGAGGCTGAGGCAGGACAATCGCTTGAACCCAGGAGGTGGAGGTTGCAGTGAGCCGAGATTGTGCCATTACACTCCAGCCTGGGGAACAAGAGGGAAACTCCATCTCAAAAAAAAAAAAAAAAAAAGGGAATATGGAGCCCATTGGCAGGAGTGGCCTCGGGTCCATGAGACAAGGTGGATGACTCTGGTGACTAAGGTGTGGGCGCAAGAAGTCAGGGCTGTGTGAATTCACATCCCAACTCGGCAAAATTCTCTCTCTGTTATTTTGGGAAACCGAAGCTCAGTTTGAAATGTCTGTGAAATGGGGATACCTAGACCCCCTACTTCATGGTGTCACTGTGAGGCTCTGAGATAACACGAGGGCCTGGAGAGAGACAGACCCAGGAATGCTGGCTCGTGTGATTAAGGCACAGAGAGAGTGCTTAATAGGTCTAGGTCTAGAGAGGCAAAGTGCCTTGCCCAAGGTCACACAGCAGGATCGAGGTTGTCTAGTGCAATGGCGGTGTGTGGGCTTTGGGCCTGGATATACCTGGTGAAGCAGAGTCTGTTACTATCTAAATACCACCGCACCTGGCTGAGGGTGTTCCCAATAGGATCAATCCCTCTGTCTCTCCTCACCCCACTGGTAACAGGCTTGGACGACTGACGTGCTTTGGCCAATGAAACATGAGCAAAAATGCTATGGCCACTTCTGAACAGAAGCTTACCGCTGCCTTCTCCCTCGACGGCAGGGCCATCCTGCCCGGGATGGGGGCTGCTTCTCTGGCCTTGTCACAGAATGCTTTACGCAGAGAACCACGAGAGCCCAAGAAGGACCCAGAGTATGAGCCAAAAGGAAGCCTTTGCTTCTCAAGCTCCCGGGGCCTTTGAGGGTGCTCCTCCCCTCGGCATAACTAAGCCCAGGATGACCGATACGGCTGACTCAAACCCTGCTGTGTCCCCTGTGTGCTGTGTGGCTGCAGGCAGAGCTTCACCCTCTCTGAGCCTCAGCTCTAGTGAACGGGGCTCATGGAAGGTCCTTCACAGATAACAGATGGAGGGTGTCAGCGCGAGTCAGGCCCCTTGTGTTGGAGGAAGTCCTCGTAAGTGTTCATTCACTTCCTTCCCCTGGGGAAGGGGAAAGCTTTGGGGGTCAGAGATTTCACACATGGACAAGGGAGGGACAACAGTCCATGCCTGCACA